CCTTCCCTCTAGTCTTTCTCTGGTAAAGTAGGGACGGTTAGCGCAAATAGCCCTCGTGTAGCTTTGCGCGAAATTCAAAACAAACAATCAATCAACAGTCCCTGATTCTTCGGAACGTTTTGTACTTTTTCGTTTTTGCATCTTGACTATTAAATTGGGGTTTGGTGCGTATTGTCCATTGGGTGTTTATACGAGCCTCAATCTCAGGTGTGACAGTTGGCGTAGTCCAGAGATATTTCTTTGTCACATATAATAATGCTGTTTCAGAACAATCTAAACGCAAATTCATATTTCATAAAACCTATCCTCAAGATACACCCAGAATTTGTTGGATTTCGCAGAAAAGCTATACGAGAGCTATCTGTCCCTAATTTTGAAGAAATAAATTAGAGAGAAGGTATCTAGATAACAACACCTATCACCAAGTCTTTTCAGACCGAACAGTGGGATTTGACTGTCACTTATAACGTATCCATGGCCACAAAGTGCGGAACGCGAACTACTGAAACTGAGCCCAGTTCCCAAAGTACAAAAAAGCTTCCATCGTTAATATCGATCTGAAGTTTCTGTAAGGCTAAAAGGAAGGTTATCGCCACTTCCAATTTTCCGTCTTTCTTATACAGTTCTTACAAGTTCAGTGACAGTAATCTTATGAAATGACATTTATTCCATTATACTCTTGGATAAAAATTTGGCAATTGTATTTACCCCAGCTGAGAGAGAGAGAGAGTCAACATGATATAATTATTAACATGTAAAAGTTTAAGACAGAAATTTAGTCTATACTAGTAGAAACGCCGCCCTAAGGGCGTCAGTTTGTGGTAGTAATTACTAATCGTAGTATTCATGCCTCATTGAAAAAAAAAAAGTAAGAAAGAGAAATAATGAACAGGAAGTGTTCGGATTGTGCTGATATAAGCTGTAATGTTTTTACATATTAATAGTTGTATCCTTTATTGAGAAAAATACGTTTTTTAAGAACTCCATTTTAGCACTATATTTATAAATTACATCAATAAAGATATAATCAAACTCTCACGTACAGTCCTAATGAAAGTCGTGTTCTTGTTGTGAGGAGAATACTTTTTATTTAAAATTACGCTCTGTTATAAAGAAATTGTTGTTGCATATACTGTTGTTATTTCTAGTTGTCTGAATCTTGAATACTCAAGTGTGAATATTTTTATGGACTTTTGTTTGTGATGCTATTAAATAGATGGCGTTACATTGCATTTATTATTTCGGTTACATACATAGATACACGCTATGTCACTATAGCAAGATAAGCGTGTGTTCCAGAGAGACAGTGAATTAGAATTCCACGAGTTAGTCATTTTTTAATATAAAAATTAATTGGCGTTTGTTTTGGTAAACAAAGTTCACATAATTTGCAGTATTAAGGCTTCCAACACAATGAACAGTTTGTACAAAAACAATCCTGCATGTAGAAAAAAAAAAAAAGAAAAAAAAGGAAGATGAACATTGTTGGAATTGATCCGTGAATTATTTTTGGTTGTTGTTAAGTGCTGTGCTCACCGCGGATGCCGAAACCCGGTTTTAGAATTACAACTCTTGAAACTTATCGATGTGCCACTGTGGAACACCAGTAAATTGTTCTGGTGGATATATTATCTTTCTTAAAAGCAAATTGTTAAGAATTATTATAATAAACATTTTTGCAATAAGTCACCAAAACATTAATTCTTCAAGACTGCGAGATCATCCGTGTATTAAAAAAATAATCTATCTTAAATTCCAGTACATAACAAAACAATTACGTCTATTATTTCTAAATTTGCTCATAACTTGTTTAACCACGTATAAAATAGCACTTAGGATACGTAGTTTTTGCTGGTGTAAAAACTGTTATCGAGTTCAATGCCTTTACTTCCAAAAATTGAGCAACCTTTCGTTACTTCTTTTCTAAATTTTCCGTTAAATGTTAGACGAAATGATAGAATAGTAGCTAAAAGCACTGTAATAACAACACTCACGGTTGATTTACAGCAATTGAAGATGTAGTTTCAAAGATGGGATGAAGTTTTATTTGAGAAAAGCTGATATAACATATAATGAGGCTTACGTCGTAACAGAACAGTATCTTTGAGACAAATTTTTAATAAGTTCACTGCATTTTTTTAAATGACAGTACGTACATCAAAAGAGCTAATAGGTTTGATGTAAAATTTATATGGATTTGTAAAATTGTAAAAGTTTCTATTTTTATAATTTCCTTTTTTTTTTATCATGAAACGTGAAGTAATCAAAACATACAATTTACGTTTCTGTAACTAATAATTGACTAAACACTCGTATTGTTTTTATTAAATTTATTGCTTTAAAGATCTTGACTTACAAACATATCTGTAATTAAAATATTAAATTTTCTGTACATTGTAGAAAATAGTAAATTATCATCACTTAAGTCCTAGGGCATATCGGTAAAATAAATACTGATGTAATCTTTAATTCAAAGGGAGTTGATCACTTATCCGCAAGCAGGTTTCTAAGAAATCTTACCCCATAACATTTATCAGATTTATTGTATCTTATTTAAGCATCATCGTTTAAAGAGTTACTGGTAGTATTTCTAAAAGAATCTACTAAAATTGGGTTTAAAAAAATCTTGAATAATACAAGTACTTTGACAAATAGTGATTGCCGAGTAAAAAGTTATGATTTTTTACTTGACTGGAGATGACATCGACAGTACAACTTGTAGGATTTTTTTTTTTAAGTTGGAACGTTCAAACTTAAATGGAAAATTTGTCAGAAAAAAAAAATGATCTAGAAACATAAAATAGTCTTTATTTGTGTAGAACATGAAACATGCTTCGCTGTATACATACAATGTCACGTAGCTGCTATTCTGAATTATCAATCCTTATCATTGAAATGGAAAATGCAATTTAAACATGCCCCAAAGAGAAAGCAATTATCAAATACAATTTCCTAATATAATACAGTATTAAATATCAGAAAATGAGCGTATTAATTCTTTATATTTTTTCTTTAATTTGCAAATATTTTGTGCTATGTTGGGTGACATTTAAATTTTAAAAGCAACGTGCAAGAATTTTCATTGAAAGTTTAAAACATTTTCCTGCCAAAGGGTTTAAGAGATGGTAAGAAAATTCCAACATAAGGGATAAAAATAGTAAAACAGTCAATAGTTAACTCTGATTATAAGATGTAAACAATAACAGTCTTAATCGTTCTACCAAATGTTTTAGTTTTTCTCTTGAACAAGGTATGCACACAAAATTAAGTTTCCATGAAAAAGCTGATTAACACACTAATTTGGTGGTGAAATTCACTAAGCTGAATTCTACCATTAAGTTTATAAAACTATACAGTAGTCTTAATCATACTGAGCTTAAAAATCAATACAATACACTGTCACAAAAGAAGAATAGGTATGCCAAACCAAGTCTTATTTTCAAATAAATGACCTAAATAAATATGCTATACCAAAGTTTTGAAACTTCAAATGCTTATATCTTTGAGAAACAAGAACAGAATACGAATGTTTAAATACTTAATTTGCTTCTTAGTAAGTTTTATCTAAAACATACATGTCACAAAAAAATTGTGTACAACTTTTTTTCTATTTTTCTAATCCTTAGCATTCCTTAAATTAGATATATTTGACTATCAAAAAAAAAATCACACATCTTTATCCTTGAGCAAATAACAATAAACCTGACATGCAATATATGCATCAACTTTAATGTTAAATTTGGTTATTTCACTACACTGTTTTAAAGTGTTTTTACAAGTCATTAAAAAATTACAATTATATCTATATATACAATACCCACACACTAAAAACTTGTATATGTTATTTATTTTATCTAACCCTACACTATTTAAATATGCTGCTGGACTGTATATCCATTGTTTTCTCTTTTGGTGGTCAAGGAAATTTCTATTCAAGTGTGTTTATTTTTTAAGAGATAATTCTACCTTCACTAACATTTTTTTTTTTATATTTCAGCATTTAAACCAAACGGACTCATTAAGTAATGCTTTTAAGTATCTGCATTACTTTCCTCTCTCTGTTCAGTAGATCAAACTTCAATCTTTAAGAACTAATGGTTACTAGGACAAGTTATGCAAAATTATAATAAAAAATAGAGAACGCAGTCAGTCTAGCAAACAATTTAACTGATGTTCATTGGTTATCACTGTAAAAATACCTAATGTTACTGTATCTTTAGTCCTGAAACTTTTATTTGAGAAAAAAAAAAATTGCAATGGATTTCTTTTCCTATTAACTACCTGAATATATGATATTTTATGAATTACTTAACTAACGAGTATTGATGAAAGCAAGGATGGAACTGATGGACTGAAGACTTGGGGGTTTGAGAAACTTTGATTTGTACAATAATTCACAGTAATAAAAGTTCTCATTTCTTCTAAGGAATTATGTTCCTAATTTCACTTCAACTTTTGTTAGTTCTCAAATACTATCTCTTACATGTATGACTAACATTCATATATTTTACGGCATTACCTTCAACAATGCAAACAGACCATACTCATGTGATATTCACTTGCTTAATACCAAATACTTGGGTAATTTAAAACATTTTCATATTGTTTAACAATTTAGTATTAGCCATGACAGTTAACCAGACCATAAAATACAGCTAAATTACCTTCAACAATGCAAACAGACCATACTCATGTGATATTCACTTGCTTAATACCAAATACTTGGGTAATTTAAAACATTTTCATATTGTTTAAAAATTTAGTATTAGCCATTACAGTTAACCAGACCATAAAATACAGCTAAATTTGTGATCTTTATATAAAACCTTAGATAAGAGAATACATGAAACCACCAGAAATGTTTTTCAGCACAGTGAACATACTGGATTCACATAACAACCACCAATGGGCCACATTTTTCATTAAAAAACACTTTAAAAAATCAACTGTGCCCTCCTCTCTTTTGTGTTGTATTCCAGGCCACTAGTTAAAAACCATAAAACTACTTATCTAAGCATAAAGATGGCAGGCAAAACTACCTCAGAGTCTTGAAACTGATAGCCTGAAAGTTATTCTATAATCTATTTTAAGGTATAGTTAAAAATTTAACAGCTTACAGCAAGATTTTCAGTGAAAAATTGTAAGCTAAACTATCACATAAGAACATAGGAAATACAGCTCCTCTCTCCCAGTGTTGCAAGAGCTCAATATATTACCAGTCACAGTTCATGCAAATCACTGTAACACATTCTATTTTTAGGGTTCTAACTAACACATGATATTGAGAGGTCAAACTAAGTAATCATGGCTTTCTTTTCTATGAGTGTAACATCTTACTGTTCAAAAGTAGAATTCAAAGTGATGTATCATCTTTAGAGAAAGTTAATAACTTTAATTTCAAAGTAGAAAATTAAATACAGGTAACACACTTCATTCAGATAACTTGCAATAATGAGTGTCCATAAAATAATAACAAAAAAATTGGTCAAACTCAAAGGTAAATAAATAAGAAAAAAAAAAATGGTGCTGGAAAATAGCATACCAACAACAGGAACTTTGCATCAAAGTTACTGAAGCAATAGGTTTTTACAGTAATTAGCACCTTTAAGTCTAAATTAACAATATGTTCAACTGCAGATTTGATTACAGTACGAGTAGTCATGTATACCCAGTTAGTTTCATATCAGTATATGTTATGATTATGAGTATGCTTACTTAAGTTTATATTTTATTGTTCATTCTGGCTTATGGATTTTCTTAATTTAATTTTTTTTTAACCAAACATACCAATCTATTTAATGATTGTTTGAAAGTCAAAATGTTACCCATTTTACAGAATTTCTGACCCCTATCAACGGTCCACTGTAGTGTATTCAGTTTGTAAATGATAAAACTACAGCTAAAAGCCTTTGTAAACCTTAAAGTTTTGTAATTTACATCCTAACAGTTTTTGAAGTTTTAGCAACGGTTCACTTTTTAAACAAATACAAGTACCTCATTCTTTTGTTGAGGTTTACTCAATTTCTTACATATGACTGTTTCACTATGCTGCATTAACATCCTGAGGCTTTTGAAATGTTTAGGAAACCTTATGTTGGGTTTGATATTCCCTGAGAAATGAACTGAAGCCTACTAGACCTTTTCACACAAGAAAATTAAACATGCAAGATAAAAGAATTAAAACACACTGATCTCTTTACAAGGTTTTGTAAAAATTTTAGGACAGGATCTAATACAGAAATTCTTTCGTAATTTTCTTTCATCCTGAGAAAATTTACATCACAGACAAGTTAACCACTGTGAATTCCAAATACATATAAACAATATTACAGTAGATGGATACGTCATCCAGGTAAATATGTTAAATTCTGAGACACGTTACCAGACATCACTAATGTTGCAACTCCACTAGAGCCATAACAATCTTGTAGATTCTTATCTTCCTGTTGAAAGTTATTCTTCTGCGGACTCACCTGTAAAAGCTGACCTGTGCTGGTCAACAAGTAATACTGTTGACCAGGGGAATTGGAAGCTGGCTGTGTCAACATATTCTCTTCCCCAGGAGACTGTACCAATTGTGTTTCTGTGGCAGAGTATGGTGGTTGCTGAAGTGTGTTATTGTGTACTACAGGTAAAGATGTCACTGTGTTCACCATCTGTGTGTTATCTAAAACAGATAGTTGGGGTACAGGATTTACAACTGTTTGGTTATTTATCATAGAAATCTGAGGCACTCCACTAACAATCTGCTGGTCATTCACCACAGAAATCTGTGGTATTCCACCAACAACCTGCTGGTTTTCCACAAGGGAAATTTGGGGAACACCACTAACAATTTGTTGGTTTTCTATCAGGGAAAGCTGGGGTATTTCATTAATGATCTGCTGATTGTCTATTATAGGAAGCTGAGATAGTCCACTGACAATCTGTTGACTGTTCATAACAGAAAGTTGAGGTGCTGGATTTACTACCTGTGAACTGTTCACAACAGGTAGCTGAGAAAATGGGCTTCTCACTACAGATAACTGCTGTACAACGGGAACCTGGCCCGTCAGCTCTGCAGACCTAACTTCCGAGGACAGCTGTTGCGAAGAAGACCTAATGACAGACACTTGTTTTGCTGCAGGTTTAAGTGTATACATTCCAGGGCGTGTTGTTGGCAAGGTAAAAACATTAGCTGCATTTCTACCTGGCATGACAAAGACTGTGCTTCTTGGTGTGCTCGTGTCAGTGGACATAACATTGCTCACTACTGGATTGGAAACTTGCAGATAAAGTGCTCGTTTTTCTAATGAGCCAGATGACGATGATGATGATGGTGCACACAGCTGATGTTCTACAGGTGGGGAACCAAGAAGATTATTTCTTTTATCCTCAAAGTCAACATTAGCTTTTACCTCATCAGAAAAAGTCTGAGTAAGTGGTAAACACTGTTTAATCACAGAACCTGTTGTGCATAGCTTTAACTGTGGGTTACTAAAAGCAGGTAGACTGTTATTTCTACAAACAACTGTTGAACTGGACTGAATTTTATTCTGTTTCAAAACAGGTGCTAGGGGAGGTGGTTCTGAGACTTTTAATGGTAACTGATGAGATTGGTTTGTTGAATTTACAAGAGAAGACATTGTGCCATTAATAACCTTCTGCAATTCTGAAACACGACCTGCCTGTGTAATGACTGAAGTAGTAACTGTACCAGATTTTATAGACGATGATGATGATGATGCACACGTAGTAACGGAAGAAATGCTGCTGACTGTTTTTGGCATTAGTGTGAGAACAAGTTTAGTGCCTTCACTAGTTGCTACAGTTGAAATCTTGGCCCCATTCTGCTGTAGCAGTTCTGATAGAGGAATATTGATAGGGGATGAGGATGACTGGCTCGAAGATACCTTTGTGGTAACTGGTTGGATGTTAGGAGTTGTGTATCTGAGCTTAGTCGAAGAAACGGCTGTGGGAAACAGATTCGAAGAATTTGACTGCCGTGTTTGTTGAGCAGTTGCTATGTGAGTCACTACCTTTGGGTGACTTGGAGATCTTGATACTATATTGTTAAGGGAGTTATTACCAGTGTTAGTGCTGGGAAAAGAGTCTGAAACAACATTTTGGGAATTAGCTCGACTGTCATTATTGCGAACAACTTGAAAGTACATTTTCCCGCTTTTAGGCTCCACAACTGGTACAAGCATAAAGATGGAATTGTTAGATTGCTGAGAAGATGTTTTGTTGGAATGTGTCAAAGTTTCTGAATCAGATGGAGAATTTCTTGACTTGAAAAACTTCTTAGGTTGTCTGGAAACAGAGGAGGAGCTAGTTATTATTGCATTTGCTGAAGATTCCAAACTCTGATGTGTTCTCATGACTGGGGAACCAGTCTGCTTTGCTTCACTTGACGAAATCACCATTTTATTTTTTTCAGGTATGGTGTTCAACAAGAAACAAGATGCAGAAGAATTGGCACTGTAAGGACTCGTGTAAGTAATTCTATTACTATTTGATTTTAATAATTTATCATTAGAATTATATGCCTCTGTGATAGACCGGCTGGTCTTACTGATGATATTTGGTTTTAAATTACCCAAAATGCCTTTAAATGTAGTAATATTAGTTGGAAAAGACAAAGAGCAACTGAAGCTAGTTTGAGGTTCTTGTAGTTTTATCTGACTAGATTTTGAATCTTCTTTAGTGGTAGACTTTACAGAATCTGTATTTTTATCACTTTCATTTTCTGCTCTATGTATATTTTCCTGATTGGTCTGCTCAACATTTTTTGATTGAAAAGAAAACCTGGGCATTTTTTCAGTAAGAATTTCCTCATCCAAGTAAGGCAAACGTAGCTTCCTTACACGACCTCTGGAACTGACGGAAACTTGAAATGGGCTCATCTTCTCTTTGCACGCCCCATTTTCTTCCATCTTTCTCAGATTCCTTGGTTTTGTGACTTTACCACAAAGAACATCCTCATGAAGGTCCAGCCTCCTTAATTTCCGCTTACGTCCTCTAGAACTAACAGATACTTCATAAGAATCAGATATATATTCCAGCTTATTTTTCCCCCTCTTTCCTGTTTTAATGGCCGTAGATTCATCTTCAGAGACAGAGGAGCTTTCACTACTGTCTTCTTGTTCATTAAATTCAGTACTCCAAACATTAGGGTGCATCTAAACATGATTAACATAAGAAAAATGTTAAAATTAATGAAAATAATATAGTATTGGTATTAATATTAATCACTTTCATGTCTGGCAATATATTCCAGGAAATTTTGTATTATGTTCTAATTATAAAGTAATCTTATGATTTACTGGATTGGAAGCAGCAGTATGGTATGAAAAAGAAATTTGGTTACAATCTTAAACAAAACATTATTGAAAACAAACTTTACAAGAGAAGGTAAAAGCTATTGATTTATTTTCAATGTTCTAATTTTGTATTTTTTTTTACAAACTGTATATATAAAAATAAGATACCCTTAACTAGCAACAATAATAATATCTGAAACATAATTTCTTGCTTTATGATTTTATAAGTATTTTATAAATTACAATACCCCAACTTTCAGCAAACACACACTTCATTTATTCTCTAAAAAAAAAAAAAAAAAACTCACTATACAGATGCCTTGAATTTATGTATTTACATATATTTATAGGGACACTTCTCAAAATTAATGAAGAAATTCAATCAATCTTTAGTCAAGTACAGTACATAAGTATTTCTCTGATCCTCAAATGTCTCGATAAATTTGTAATGGAAAAAAAAAAAAAAAGTTTAGGAGGGATGGGGATTCAAACCCACAACCCGCAGATTGCAAGTCAAGCACCCTAACCACCTGGCCATGCCAAGCCTAAAATATGATAGAAGACATTCAAATACCTCATTATTTTTAGATGCTCGTTTCTGAAAATCTTCCCATTCCTTTTTTAAGCGCATTCTGATTCTTCGTTCAGTCAGATGTAATTTTGTTTCCCATGGCTCTACTTCAGCTAACAGTGCACGTAGTTGATTACAAAGGTGAGTTTCACAGATATTTTTCCGATTTTTGCCCTGTCAAAAAGATTATCTCAATATGAGAACATTTCACAAGCACAACTGAAATAATAAAGCATAATTTTCATCACTGTTTAAGAGAAAATATAAATAAGTTAATGAATCAAACAGATTATTTTTCTGTAAACACAAAGTAAAATTGCAGGAAAAAAACCAAAACACACTAAATCATCACCTCATAATCATCTTACTTATAGAGAAATGTATGAAAAACATATAACGATACAGTAAAATAGGTATGACCATATAAAACCAATTATGACAACTGAAGGCTATTCACAAAAAAGAAAGTCACTAAATAATTTAATCACAAAAGGTCTAGAATCCTACTAGATATCTCTGGAAAGCTAACCTACAACCCTAAATAGGCTTACCTAATATACAAAGGTTATACATTATTAACCTTCTCTCTGCAGCATCAGAGTTTACTTCTTGTGTGGGATTTTTTGTTGTTATTAATTTTGCTATGATGTTAATGTCATTTTATGCTACAGTTTCAAAGCCTCAAACAGATTGTTTATGATTTCACAGAAGAATCCTTCATTTTGTGACATCATATTCATTCACCTTTTAATAACATTCAAAAATCATCAGCACAAAATTGTTTAGGCCTACTGCTCTCAATTATTTAATTTATTAATCTTAATATTTGTACATGATACACACATTTTACATGGAAACAACATACAAAATATTTTGAGATAAATCTCAGAGCTTCTCCAACGTTCACTGCTTTGATTTTTTTCAGATGATATAGAAAGAAACCTCTTGTACAAGTAAAAAGCCTAGTTTATCCACATTTTTTTCCCGAGCTTATCATGGTTAAACAGTGATATTCAGCTGTAGAAGCAACTCACTGATAATGGAAGAGCCCTAGAATTTATTCTAAAACTTCTGTGAAAGCATGTTATCCTGATGAAGATATGCAATATTCATATGATTTACACATAGCCAAGACAAATATATCTGCTTGGGACATAGGAAAAGAAGGTTAGTGTGTCATACACTCAAGGTCACAATTCAACAAAATGGTTAAATAAACACTATAGTAAACTTAAGATCAAAAACAAGAATAAACAAGAGAACCCAATTTTCTAATTTTCTGCTTTATCCTTTAGAGAAATGCGAGACACACACAGAGATAACAACAAACAGATCAGAATTTTCTTTTCTTACGCTTACAGTAGGTTCCTTTAATTTTGATATGTTAAGTTTTAAATTGGTTTTACATCTTTTTAATATATTACTTGCTGAAAGGGAAAAGATCTATATTAGCAGTTGTTTGAGTAAACCAATAATCCATTTCTGTGAAGCAACAAAAACAACAACAAAAAAGACCAAACTATAGAGAACACAACATTTTTTAAGAGTTCCAGAATACATTAATAAATAATATAAAACAAAAGAATTGAAATACTGAAAGTTTACTAGCAAAGAGAATTAGCTGATAGAGATATTAAGGTTTGTTTTGTTTTGAAATTCTCACAAAGCTACACAAGGGCTATCAGCTAGTTAACACCACCCTCTGCCAACTCTTTTACCAAAGAACAATGAGATAGACCGTCACATTATAATGTCCCCAAGGCTGAAAGGGTGAGCATGTTAGGTGTGAAAGGGATTCAAATCTGTGACCCACAGATTGCGAGTTGAGTGCCCTAACCACCAGGACGTACAAAGAGAGGTTAAGGAATCTCAAAAGTCTCACAGTTGTCTATAATGATGTCACACCTAAACTGTTTTGGATTCCCAAACTACATAAAACACCATACAAATACTAGTTTACTGCCAGTGTTAAATTTGCTATAACTAAGGATTTGTCGATTGTAGTAGATAAAGGTTTGAAATACATTCAAGAGCAAATCGATTAATAATGTAAGAGTAACAAAGAAAGAGCTGGTATTCATTACCATTGATAATTCCAGTGAATGCAAAAAGGAGAATTAAATATTTTGAGACTGAAACAATAGAACCTTGACATTAGTAACCTTTACAGTAGTCTTCCTATTTATGAAATGAAAGTCTTTCATCAACAATTTCAACATCTTTTTGAGAATTCTAGTACATTAATTCCTCGTGTCAGTAAACCAAGAAGTTTCTGCCATAATGTTACACATAGAAATTACACTTTTAACAATAACAGAATTCATACAAGCTATGTATCTTTTACTTGAAGAGACATTATTGCAATACGACCAACATATTTTCTAACAAATGTAAAGAACGCCTGTGGGAGTAAATTCAGCCCACAAGTTGCAGATTTATGGCAAAGCTACTACCTGCTGCCATTTGTAATTTTGAGCTAACTGACTAGAAGAAAGGCAGCTAATCAGCAGCACATTACCACTCACACTGGTAGAGTGACTGTTACACTTATAACAAATTCAGATCATAGAGTGTGGGAATTATTTTGGGCCAAGTCTGATGCAAAGGTTATGATTATGAATTTGAGAAAATACAAGAAAATAACTGAAACCCTATACCTGCTCTTAGAAATAGCAGTAACTTTCAAGTGAAAAAGTGAATTTCAGTATTGAAAATAGTATTATTCTAACATTTTCTTCAGCAGACAATTAAGAAATTTTTTGTATCTTGTATACATCAACTTAAACTCATATTTTCTATATTAGCTACACAGCATTATTTATATAAAACAAATACTTTTAACTTAGTTATTTCTTTAATGTAAATTACATTTTAGTGTGTCCCCAAAAAAATAATTTTGGGTCATGTGTTTAAATGCCTATACAATATGATATAAATAATCATTATTTCCTGTTTAGGGAACCCTGAAGTTTGAACATGGCAAGACTGAGACTTATTCAATGAATGAAAATTATTGAGTGGTGGCACCAGACAAAAAAGTGTGGTACAGATAGATACAGCTCAATTCTCGGACTGTGACCAAGCTTGTTACAATGGATACTGTTTGTCATCAGCATAAAGGCTATTGTGAAAGAAGGCAAACTTCTAGCAGTACTGAAAATTTGGGAACATTTAAAAATGTTACTTAAAAATTATGTAAGCTTTAGTAAACTATTTTCCTTTTAAATTTGTAACTAATTAAAAAAATAATACAATTCAAATTTCCAGATATCAAACATAATACTATAATACTGTGAAGTGTAAATAAATATTACCTTGCCCTTTTTTTGGGATTCATTATTTTCAAAATTCGAGAGCAACTTCCGCAAACAATCAACACTGTGTGCAACTAGTTCAAATTTCTTAATGTTGGGCTCTATGCTATATATATGAGGTTCTTTCTCTTCTTCTTTTGTACTTTTTGGTTCACATACTTCTTTCTATATGAAAAATAAAATAATCTAACACTTAGAAGCACAAAAATTTAACAGAGTTTGTCCAACTACCAAAATACTAAGACTTAATAAATACAAATATGTGCACATTAAACTTTCTAGCAGCACATCAAAGAAAATAAGGCACATTTTGGGGAAAATCAGGACATAACTGGAAAATATCAGGTGACATGACATTAATAAATATTTAGTAATTAATGATGCACTCATCTAGAAGTTTAGGTTTGTTTTATAAATTTGATACAAATACCAAGCTCTCTTTAATACTAAGAAAACTTGCAGAAACCTTCTCAGTAAAATCTCATCTGGTCAGTCAGATTGTCACTAAAAAGGCTTCTGTTACAAATGAACAACTTGAAGAGGTAACACACACACACACACACACCTTTTCTCTTCACCAAAAATAAGCAAGTTACAAATTTCTGACAAAAATGGTTACGAAATTGGAAAATAGGGGCATTGGAAGACACATATTTATATTAATTATCAGCTTGTTTCCTTGCACTCTCTACAAATAGTAGTTTCTGTAATAGTTATCAAGTTTCACCTATGTTTTATGGTAATTTCTAAAATGTATGTTGGAACAAAATAAATAACATGTATTGCCCCAACCTAAGTCAGTACCATAAAGTGTGATCATGGTGTCATCGTTACGTATTATACAGTTGTGTATGTTGTCTTTTATATTATCAAATTGGTCTACACATCAAGTTTCCTAACATCGTGTCCATCGTGTTCCACAATGTGTGGAAAAATGAGTCTAGGCATTTTGTTAAGAATAAGTTGTTGTGCAGGACTGAAATATGGTAAGGTTT